TTGGGGAGAGGCAGTCTCATGTGCTGTCTATTTGATCAATCGATCGCCGACAAAGAGTTTGAGTAAATGCCTATTCTTTCTTTCGGCTACCCTATTTTGTTGGGGTGTGTCCACAAATGAGGAATCATGGATAATCCCATGTGATTGAAAGTAAGGTGACAAAATCTGATTGAAATAATATCTAGCATTGTATGTCCTAAAGCTTTTTATTTTGACCCCAAATTGATTTTGAACCATTGACTGAAAATTAGGTATACCAGTGCTAACATCAGATTTTTGTTTAAGAAAAAAGAGCCATGTGACCCGATTGCAATCATCAATTAAGGACACAAACCAACGACCCCCAGAAACATTAGGTATAGTGGAAGGACCCTATGTCACTATGAATCAAATGAAAAGGATGAGAACTTCTTTTATTGCTAATAGGAAAAGATGCACGGATATGTTTGGCCAATTCACAGATGTCACAATGAAACTCAGAAATATTTAATACTTGGAACAAATGAGGAAACATTATTTTTAAAATCCTAAAAGAGGGATGACCAAGACGTAGGTGATATAGCTAAATGGCATCTTTATTCGAGGAACTAAGGAAAGAAGAAGGCAAGTTACTTTAAGTTTTTTGGATGGTTCAAGGTGGTAAAGACCATTCCTTTCCTTAGCAAGTCCAATTCTCCTCCCCGAGTCCTGGTACTGAAAAACACAATAAAAAGAGCAAAAAACAACATAGCATTTAAGATCATGAGTCAACTTTTGAATGGAAACAAGACTTGTTGACAGTTTGGGCACATGGAGAACATTTTTAAGGATAAGGCTAGGTGTGATATGTATATCTCCAATCCCTGCAACAGTGGCTAAGGTGCCATTGGCCACAACAATTTTTCTATTACTTGGACATGGGGTATAGGTGTGGAAGAGTTGAGATGTGGGGGTCATATGGTCTGTAGCACCGGAGTCTATGATTCAAGAGTTGGTATAGAATTTGTCTAAGACATTCATGCACACAGGTTTACCTGAAAGAGCCATTGAACATGTTCCAGAAGGCTTCTCAATAGACCCCAACAAACTTCTCAATCTTTCAATTTCTTCACTGCTGAACCCCCTATTGCTGGATTTTCCTCAATATTGGGCTGCTCTGCCATATGCGCTTGAGGCCTTTGCTGCTGCCCCCACGGTAGCCCCACTCCCGGCTTGGAGGTTTACAGTTGAACCTATTGGATGCCCGGATATTCTGCAGTTCTCCAATTTTCTGAATAGAGTTAGATTCTTCGGAAGGGTTGGAATTGTTGGAGATGATGGTTTCAGACATGACTTAGTGAAAGAAGAAAAATTCATAGCAATTAAGGCTGGAACAAAACACAACGATGAAGGCTGCTTGAAGAAGACTACAAAACCTTAGAAAAATTCCTAGAGCTCTAATACCATGCGAGAAATCAGAGATGAAAGGAAAGAAAATTCTGTATTTCCACTATGATTTGAATTGATAATACACTGAGTTAAAAAGGAGATTACAAGGAGGAAAAATGAAACAAACTAACTGATTCCCTCAATTAAGGACCGACTAAATCCCTCAATTTTTGGGATTACAAATTAATTCTCTTAACATATTTGAATTACAAATTGATTCTCCTAACATATTTACATTATAACTCAGCTATTCTTTGACACCCATAACTAAGGCCGTTTCAATAATCAGTCCTAGAATTTGTGTTACTTGTCAAAATTATGTCGAAATTAGCTTTTTCGAGTGCGCATTCCACGCATCCCATCCTGAAGTTCACTTAATCCCAACATTCATTGGTCTCGAATAAAATCAATTACGCTAAACTTACCACCAATCCTCCCCCATTTTAGTGTAATCCTTGATTTATTCACAAATTAAATCACAACCATACACAATAAATCCATGCATAAACGAGAATGTCACGAAGATTGAATTTTCGCATTAGTACAACACACGTTACAAATATTCGAGAATCAGGGTGTCGCTAAGGATTGAACCCTTTCAACTCATTTGAATACATGTAGGCAGAGTACACACGAATTTACAATTCCCTTGGTTCTAACTTGACACTTTTCTAGCCATGTGTCCATATCCATTCGCGAGCTCATCGAAAGCAAGTCCGAACTTTCTTAAAGCGGCAAAACTTCATGCTCGTATAGGTAGCTCCTTTAGTCTCGCTCTTGCATAAGCAATTTTTCAAAGGAGTTATTAAGAGATATAATATCAAGATATGGTTCTTGCAGGTCTGAACGCATACTTGGGATGTTTGAATTAAATGCGATCCAATCTTCCCAATATGAGCTTTTCACATTGAATTCAGCTTCTAGCGTCATACTAGAAGGGAATTGGGTCTCACACTAGGAAGATTTAATGGACTTCAATCCCATCCCAATCGACGACTTGTGCACTAAGTCTCTCGCCAACCCTTTTGTCAAACAGTCGGCTAAATTATGTTCTGACCGAATAAACTCAACCGATATCACCCATTCATGATTAAATCACGAATCATGCTATGTCTCACACCTATGTGTCGAGATTTACCATTATAGATTTTACTATAAGCTTTAGACATTGTTGAGGCGCTATCGCAACGGATAGAGATGAGTGGCACCGGTTTCGGCCATAATGAAATCTCATATATTAGGTTATAAAGCCATTCAACTTCCTTTCCAGCCGCGGCTAATGCTACAAATTCAGATTCCATCGTAGAACTTGTAATGCACGTTTGCTTCTTGGAAGCCCAACAAATTGCACCTCCCCTAAGCAAAAACGTCCATCCAGTGGTAGAAGAATAATCTTCGGCATGGCTTATCCAACTCGCGTTTGAGTATCCTTCCAAAATCGACGGAAAAACAACATATGACAAGCCCTAATTTACAGTCGATTTTAAGTACTTGAATACTCTTTTAAGTGGTTGCCAATGATGTATACTAGGCTTACTAGTAAATCGACTTAATCTTCCCACGGCATAAGCAATATCCGGCCTTCTACATGTCATAGCATACATCAAGCTACCTATGCCCCTCGAGTATTCAAGTTGGGAGATGGGTTTCCCGGTGTTAGGCTTAAGTTTCACATTAGGATCCCAAGGTGTACCAACCGGAGTACAATTTTCACAATTGAATTTCTTGAGAATGCTTCAATGTATTGTGATTGTGTAAGTGTAATTCCCTTGGATTCTCGAATAATTTTAATTCCAAGAATCACATTAGTAGCTCCTAAGTCCTTCATAGAAAACTTAGATACGAGAAACATTTTGGTTTTATCTATCTTGCTTTGATCTGTGTCGAAGATCAGCATGTCATCAACATATAAGCAAATAATGACTCTTCCATTATTGTCAAATCGACTATATACACACTTGTTTGATTGGTTTAAAACAAAACCATTTGACAATACAACTTCATCAAACTTTTGATGCCATTGTTTGAGAGCATGTTTCAAGCCATATAATGATTTAACAAGCTTGCACGCCTTATGTTCGTTTCCCGGTTCAACAAAACCTTTCGGTTGCTTCATGTATACTTCCTCCCCCAAATTGCCATTTAGAAATGCCGTTTTAACATCCATTTGATGGATAATAAGATTATGAATTGCAGCCAAAGCAATCAACAATCTTATAGTAGTGATTCGAGCAACCGGTGCATAGGTATCGAAGTAATCGATACCTTTCTTTTGTCTAAATCCTTGGATGACCAATCGAGCCTTAAATTTGTCAATGGTTCCATCGGATTTCATTTTCCGTTTGAAAATCCATCTATAGCCCAAAGGTTTGCATCCCGGAGGTAAATCCGTCATCACCCAAGTGTTGTTTTCTAAAATATAGTCCATCTCATCATTAATAGCTTCCTTCCAAAAGGAAGCATCCCGAGTTCTCATGGCTTCTTCATATGTCTTTGGATCTTTTTCTAAATTACGACAATATTGATATAAAGATCCAAACTTGTTTCCGGATCCTTTAACTAAATAAAGATTGAAAGTCGGTACCAAAGGACTTTGGTTTTCCAGCCTTTTTACTTCTTTCTAAGTTCAGCCAATTGATTATTTTCATCAATATTTTGATTTTCTTCCTCCTTTTCATTAAAGGTCACGTCCAGAGGTAGATGTTCATCACTCTTATGCTCATCATACCTAGTGGATTTGACACTAGATGAAGGCTTAGGCATCGACGTGAAACGTTCTTCATCGAAGATTGCATCACGTGATTCAATGATTGAGTGTACAGAGACAATCATTTGGTTCCAGGACGTAGAACCGATATGCCTTTGAGTGCTTGGCATATCCTTAAAAAATGCGGTCAATTCCTTTTTCACCTAAAGTCTTTCTTTTAGGTTCAGGAACTCGAACAATTGCTCTGCAGCCCCATATTCGTATGTATGTTAAGTTAGGCCGTTTGTGCCAAAGCTCATAGGGAGTGACTTGTTTCGATTGTTAGTGATCCTATTTAATATAAAGCAGGTCGTTAGCGTTGCTTCTCCCCAAAATCCTTCACTCAAACCCGAAAAAGACATTATGGAATTTACCATCTCTTTCAATGTCCTGTTTTTCCTTTCGGCTACACCATTTTGTTGAGGTGTATAAGGAGCCGTGGTTTCATGGATTATTCCAACAGCTTGAAAGAATGGAAAGTCGAGATATTCTCCTCCTCGATCCCTACGCAGCGTTTTAATTGACGCACCAAGCTGTAATTCAACTTCAGTTTTATAAACCTTGAATTTTTCAAAAGCTTCATGCTTTGCATGCAACAAATATACGTAGCAGTACCTTGTTGCATCATCTATATAAGTGACGATATATTTTTTATTTCCCAATGATGGTGTTGAATGAAAATCGCAGAGATCACTATGGATCAACTCAAGAATTTCAGATTTTCGAGTGATCCCTTTAAATGGTTTCTTTGTGGTTTTCGTTGAGTGCTGTACAATAATTCCACTTTCGAATATGTATCTATATATATATATATCGGATATATGTGTGTGAGTGTGTGGATGCTCACTTTTGCGCTGGACCCGGCACTTCCAACAACATAACATCCATGTAGTTTTGCAAGCTGGCCAACAAGTTGCCCGACAGCTCCAGAGGCAGCAGATACGAACACATATTCGTTTTTCTTAGGGCTACAAACCTCATAGAATCCAGCATAAGCTGTGAAGCCGGGCATCCCTACACAAGTTCCAACTACTTGCTTAAACAAGTTATAAATGCAATATAAAGATGCCATTCCCTCCTTGATCAACACATACAAGGCATTCCTCATGATATAAATTTATTCGCAAAATCACATATAGTTTACTTGTAATTTGAAAAATCAATACCATACTTCCTCGTGATTTCGAAATTCCACAAGACTCCCTCATATTTCATGAACCATTACACATAATCCTAAAAAAGAATTGCACGAGACTTTCTTATAATTTTTAAAATATTGTATTTAATCCAATAAGTAATTTTGCCTAAATTATATTAAGAGCTAAGAATATCAAACTTGCTATTCTATTCACTACACTATTGTCCAAGTTCAAGGCAAATTCTTCTCCCTATTGGATTTGCTACACCCAAGTTCACAAAACATGTTTTATACATATATATATATATATAATGATTGATTTATCAGCTGGTAAAAATGACTCTGCAGACTGCAGCCACATGTTGTGGTTCTTACTTGCTCAAATACTCATCATCAACAAACTCTTATATCTTTTAGCAATGCAATGCCAGCACACAATGTGTATAATCATTTCCTCGATCTATAAGATATGTACAACCCCCCTCCAGTTAGATTAGCTTTATTCAGAAGAACATACAATATAATCGAAGAGTTCAATCCAAAACATAGACAAGTTAATGAACTATATACATACATACATACCGAGGAGGCCGATATGATACGACAGTGGAATACGATGATCAGGCTCAACTTTTCTCAACTGCTCAGTCTTGTAAATCAAAGTATACTCTTCCCACCCAGTAAATCCAGCAACAAACTCTCCCCCTTTGAAGTTGGGATTATCTGAATCGATTATTTTGGACACACCGAATCCCTCAACAACCTTATCCAAAACAAAACCCCCCAGAAAGTAAGTTAAAACTTAAACTGCTAATTAAGAAGCATTGCATTGCATTGCATTTCAATCTAAGGAAGGAACAAGAAATTAATTAAGAAGCATTGCATTGCATTTCAATCTAAGGAAGGAACAAGAAATTAATTAATTAGCATACGGAATGAGGAACAAAAGGCGGAAAGTAGGAGCCATGGAAGTCGCGCATTCGGGCACGCATGTAGGGATCGCAAGAGAGGTAGAGATTCTTGACGAGGATGGCGCCAGAGCCTTTTGGAGCTTCCAGCTTCATCTTGTTTCCCACCTTCACTTCCATGTCTGTCTCCTCAGGTGCTCGCTGCTCTATGTATCCTTTGAATATAATCTGCTTGTTATCCACCATTTTCCCCAAACCTACTGCTGCTGCACTCATCTTTTCCCTTTCCTCTTTGAATCCTCGAAACAAACTAAATTAAACTAAATGTGAGAAATGAATGAATGAGCCTGATCTTGAACCTCCCTCCTCAATCATCAATCAATCAATGTCGCTTCAGATTCAATCCTAGCCACTGGCTGTCACTGTGTGTGATTCCACCAGGACGGCGAGTAGGTGCACTTACCGGTCTCCTTTTTAATGGGAAGATCTTCAACAAAAGGTCAACAGATGTATATTACTCCCTTGCCGCTTATCTGCCTTGTCCACGTCTATCATTTTCTTTTCTTTGAAAATTATTATAAAGTTTAATGTTATTTTAAATTTTTTAAATTTAATTATACTAATTAATTATTTTAATTTTAATTTTAATTACTTTTATTATAAAATAATTATTTTTACTAATATATTTTTAATTATTTACTAATTATATTTTTTCTAAATTCAAGTATATACGGCAGGGGAAACACTGTAGCAAGGAAGGAGAGAGTATATCAATTAAATTTAAATTTTTAAAAGTTAAAATATTTTTTTACTATTTTTTTATTCTTTTTGTTAAAAATATTTGTTTTTATTATAAAATAATTATATATTAATATTAAAATATTTTTTAAAATTTTACATAAATTACAAATATTTCGTTATACTATCTCTGTTATTGAAATTTACTTTTATATTTTTTTGTAAAATACAAACAAAATTGAAATAGATTTAAATGACTAAGGAAGTATATACAATTAATCTATATATAAAAATATCAAAATCATCTTACACATTTATAAATTATTAAAATATTATTATTTCATAATAATTTACAAAATTTTAGAAAATTATTTTGGATGGTGGGAATGAGTATTGTTTTTATTAACATATCCTTTATTATTATAAAATATATAAGGAAATATAAATACTTTTGGATGGATGGTATTTGCTTTTTGCACGTAAATTTTTTAATATTATTATTATATTGGATTGTAGTAAAAAAAAAATATCCCTAATAGTATGGTGTAATATAAAAATAATAGCATTTGTAAGTTGAAAGGTATTTATTAGGTTAAGTAGATAGTACAATTACTAAATTAGGAAATAATAACATTGTTTTGGGACGGACGAAAATAAAAAATGGTAACCTTTCCGTAGAACAGAGAGAGTATAATAATATAACAAGATAATATTCTCTCCTATAACTAGATATCAATTTTTTTTTTTTTTTTATAATAAAACAACAGATTAATCAACAACGATTATAAATCATAAAAAGATAAGTCAGTGCAATCAGATATGAAAAAAACCATGTTAAGGAAGAGCACACGTTCGTATTTGATCATGGAAAACAGACGATCGTAACAGAAGAAAATGTAATCAGACAAGAAATTGATTTAAATAATAATATCATATTTCACATAAATATATAAAGAGTACACATTACAAATAAATAAATCACATACTTAAGGTAATAAAAGCACACAAATTTTCAATTAAAACCTCTATTACACAAATATAAACAAAACAAACAACACTATATGGTTAGAAAATCACACAAGTTACAACAAAAAAACACAACAAATACTTTAAATATATATATATATATAATAAAATAAATATAAACCCTAAAAACCCTAAAAATTATACATTGACCACATTATTTTCTTTTATATGTCAGTATAAATTAATCATTATATTTTTATAATTATTTAATAATTTTATTAAAATAATAATATCATATTTTATATAAATATATAAAAACCACACATTTACAAATAAATAAATCATATATATAAACGTAGTAAAAGTATATACACATGATTTTAATTGAAACTTTAATTACAAAGATATAAGGAAAACAATAACTTTATATTGCTAGAAAATCACAAGCAGTGTAACAAAAAAACACACCAAATATTTTAATATATATATAATAAAATATAAATCCTAAAACTATTAAAAGTTATCTGTTGGCAGCACTGTAATTTTTTTTATATATCAGTATAAAGTAATCATTATATTTTTATAATTTTTTTAATAATTTTTTGTAAATAATAATAGCATAATTTATATAAATATATAAATAGCACACATTACAAATAAATAAATAACATACATAATGTAATAAAAGCACACAGATGTTTTCAATTAAAACTTCTATTACACAAATATTAAAAAAAAAAAAAAATAGCTACTTTATATAGGGAGAAAAGCGCATACATTGCAACAAAAAAGCACAACAAACATATATTTAAAAATATATCTATATAATAAAATAAATATAAACCTTATTAAAACTTATTTATTGGTTGCACTGCATTTTTGTGTGTCAGTAAAATATAATCATTATATTTTTATAATTATTTAATAATTTTATTAAAATAATAATATCATATTTCATACAAATATATAAATAACACACAATAGAAATAAATAAATTACATATAGAACATAATAAAAGCACACATATAGATTATTATTTAAAACTTTAATTGCACTAATATATACAAAACAGCAAAACTATATGGCTAAAAAATCACATATGGTACAACAAAAAAGCATAGAAAATATATTTAAAAAATATATATAATAAAATATAAATTCTAAAAACATTAAAAATTACCGGTTGATCGCATTATATTTTTCTTTATATGTCATTAAAAGTAATCATTATGTATTTTATAATTATTTAATAATTATATTTAACTAACAATATCATATTTTTATATAAATATATAAATAACACACGTTATAAATAAATAAATTACATATATAACATAATAAAAGCATAAACATATATTTTCAATTAAAATTTCTATTGCAGAAATATTAAAAAACACAGCAACTTTATATAGGTAGAGATTCACATCCATTGCAATACAAAAACACAACAAATATATATTTAAAAATATATTTATATAATAAAATAAATATAAATCTTACTAAAACTTATCTATTGATGGCACTGCATTTTTGGCGTGTATAGTAAAAAAATAACCATTATATATTTATAATTACTTAATAATTTTATTAAAATATTAATACTATATTTCATATAAATATATAAATAGCACATATTACGAATAAATAAATTATATACACAACACAATAAAAGCACACACATATTTTCAATTAAAACTTAAATTATAAAAATATAAACAAAACAACAATTTTATATGTTTAAAAAATCGCATGCACTGCAACAAAAAAGCATATTTATTATATTTCAATATATATATATACAATAAAAATATATATAAATTCTAACAACTCTAAGTTATATGTAGACCACAATGTATTCTTTAACGAGTCAATAACAAATAATCATTATATTTTTATAATTATTTAATAATTTTATTTAAATAACAATACCATTAGTGTGTGAGACCGCGATCCACAAACTGACGCATGGGACTCACCCCTTACTTGGGAATAGAGAGGGGAAACATAGCATGTCACAAGAGCGAATATAAATATATATATATAATAAAATAAATATAAATAGTTAAAATCTTAAAAGTTATTTGTCGGCCACACTATATTTTTTTTATTTGCCAGTAAAAAGTAATTATTATATTTTTATAATTATTTAATAATTTTATTAAAATAAATTTCATATAAATATATAAATAGCACATATTAAAAATAAATAAATCTCGGATATAACATAATAAAAACACACAAATAGGTTTTTATTTAAAACTTCGATTACACTAATATAAACAAAACAACAAATCACGCACGGTACAACAAAAAAGTACAACAATCCTATTTAATTGAACATAAAAGCACACTGTTTATTTGAGATGTTTTGATTTTGAATAGTAAAATTTTGAATTGAAATAGTTGTTTGATCTTATATAAATATGTATTGATGTGATATTTTGTATGTAAAATTAGATTTTAGTGTAATAAAATAAATTATAATTAAATATTTGATTTGATATTTTTGGAGGGAAAATAAAATTAGAATAGTAAAATCATGTGTAAAATATTACAAGTAAACAACGTTTAAACAACACATTAAATATTTAAGTAAAATAAAATTACAACATTACCCCTATTTAATATACACCTCAGATTTTATAAATTTTTGATATAACAATTGAAAACAAATCAGTACAGTGCTGACAAAAAAATATGTCAGCACAGTAGCCGCCGCCATATTTAAAATTTAGACTATTAAACTTTTAAAATGAAAATAAATATATAAAAATAAAATATTGAATCATTTATATTTTCAAATTATATATTTTTATTTCCTAAAAATATTATTTTAATTATATTTTTTTTCATTTAAAATAGTAGTATATCAACAACTTTTTTTTAAAAAAAATAAAAATATTCACTCCTTCAAATGTAAAATGTATTCTTTTCTTTTTATTAAAAAAAATTATATTTATTGTACATATATACAATACTAAATATAAATATGAATGCATTAAATATTTTTACGTCTTATTGTTGTACAATATATACACGTAAAGTATGCATATATATTTCGTAGTATACTATGTGGATGGTATGTACATCACTATCATTTGCTTAATTAATGGCTGAATCCCATCCAAGCAATTAGGCGGTGTAAATCTCCTCTATATATATATATATATATATGTTGATACCATAAATGAAAGACACGCTTAATATTTACTTTATCCTTCTCTCCCTGCATTTCTCCATCATTACTTCTTTTATTAATATTACAATATACATATAAATATATATATAGCAACACCTAGCATACCTATACATGTGTATATATATATACACTTAAGTACATATATACAATATCATACATATATTATAATACATTAATATATATATTTATATACAAAATAGTGATTAACAGTAGGGATAATTAATATTTGTTATTCCTATAATATTAATATTTACAACACGTTATTAGCACGATCAGCTTTTTCGGCACGAATATGGATGCCATGTGTCAAAATACACATTATAAAGAGGAAAATATTTGCTTAATTGATAAGGCGACTACGCACACAATATTGAAATACAAAGGTATTTCTCCCACCTGAAGTTGGGAAAATCAAAAGTCAGCACAATAAGTGGCAATGCAACAATTGAAGGCTGTGGAAGAGCCCTGATCTGTTTCCCCGAAGGAATCAAGTTTGAAATACAAAATGCACTATTCTCGAGTAAAGCTCGAAGAAATTTGCTGAGTTTCACTGATATTCGT